TGAAATATCACTGTGTCGATGAAACTTATGACACTTATTATGGATCGTAATAATGTCCACACAGTGTACCGAGAGGTCGAAACGAAAGGTCAAAGTTCGTGACTAGGGCGCCATGGCTGAGTTGATTAAAGCGCTTGTCTATTTCGAATCTCAGTGGTGCCTTTTTTATTTAGGTGCTTCACCGAACAATTCCTTGTTTGATAATTACATTATTGACACTCATGATTGGTACTCGTCCAGGGTTGGGAAATTATCTTTAGGCTGGTGGATGATATGCAAATAAATCGGAACATGCTATCATTTTAAAAATAAAAATAACCTGAAAATTGAAATATCACTGTGTCGATGAAACGTATGACACTTAATATGGATCGTAATAATGTCCACACAGTGTACCGAGAGGTAGAAACGAAAGGTCACAATCCGTGACCAGGGCGCCATGGCTTAGTTGGTTAAAGCGCCTGTCTAGTAAACAGGAGATCCTGAGTTCGAATCTCAGTGGTGCCTTTTTTATTTAGGTACTTCACCGACCAATTCCTTGTTTGATAATTACATTATTTGTACTCGTCCAGGGTTGGGAAATTCTCTTCAGGCTGGTGGATGATATGCAAGTAAATCGGAACATGCTATCATTATAAAAATAAAAATTACCTGGAAATTGGAATATCGCTGTGTCGATGAAACGTATGACACTTAATATGGATCGTAATAATATCCACACAGTGTATCGAGAGGTAGAAACGAAAGGTCAAAATTCGTGACCAGGGCGCCATGGCTTAGTTGGTTAAAGCGCCTGTCAAGTAAACAGGAGATCCTGAGTTCGAATCTCAGTGGTGCCTTTTTTATTTAGGTGCTTCACCGAACAATTCCTTGTTTGATAATTACATTATTGACAATCATGATTGGTAGTCGTCCAGTGTTGGGAAATTCTCCTCAGGCTGGTGGATGATATGCAAGTAAATCGGAACATGCTATCATTTTAAAAATAAAAATAGCTTGGAAATTGAAATATCACTGTGTCGATGAAACTTATGACACTTATTATGGATCGTAATCATGTCCATACAGTGCACCGAGAGGTCGAAACGAAAGGTCAAAGGATGTGACCAGGGCGCCATGGCTTTGTTGGTTAAAGCGCCTGTCTAGTAAACAGGAGATCCTGAGTTCGAATCTCAGTGGTGCCTTTTTTATTTAGGTGCTTCACCGAACAATTCCTTGTTTGATAATTACATTATTTGTACTCGTCCTGGGTTGGGAAATTCTCTTCAGGCTGGTGAATGATATGCAAGTAAATCGGAACATGCTGTCATTATAAAAATAAAAATTACCTGGAAATTGGAATATCACTGTGTCGATGAAACGTATGACACTTAATATGGATCGTAATAATATCCACAGAATGTAGCGAGAGGTAGAAACGAAAGGTCAAAATTCGTGACCAGGGCGCCATGGCTTAGTTGTTTGATAATTACATTATTGACACTCATGATTGGTACTCGTCCGGGGTTGGGAAATTCTCCTTAGGCTGGTGGATGATATGCAAGTAAATCGGAACATGCTATCATTTTAAAAATAAAAATAGCTTGGAAATTGAAATATCACTGTGTCGATGAAACTTATGACACTTATTATGGATCGTAATCATGTTCATACAGTGCACCGAGAGTTAGAAACGAAAGGTCAAAGTTCGTGACCAGGGTGCCATGGCTTAGTTGGTTAAAGCGCCTGTCTAGTAAACAGGAGATCCTGAGTTCGAATCTCAGTGGTGCCTTTTTTATTTAGGTGCTTCACCGAACAATTCCTTGTTTGATAATTACATTATTGACACTCATGATTGGTGCTCGTCCAGTGTCAGAAAATTCTCCTCAGGCTGGTGGATGATATGCAAGTAAATCGGAACATGCTATCATTATAAAAATAAAAATTACCTGGAAATTTGAATATCTCTGTGTCGATGAAACGTATGACACTTAATATGGATCGTAATAATGTCCACACAGTGTACCGAGAGTTAGAAACGAAAGGTCAAAGTTGTGACCAGGGTGCCATGGCTTAGTTGGTTAAAGCGCCTGTCTAGTAAACAGGAGATCCTGAGTTCGAATCTCAGTGGAGCCTTTTTTTATTTAGGTGCTTCACCGAACAATTCCTTGTTTGATAATTACATTATTGACACTCATGATTGGTAGTCGTCCAGTGTTGGGAAATTCTCCTTATGCTGGTGGATGTTATGCAAGTAAATCGGAACATGCTATCATTTTAAAAATAAAAATAGCTTGGAAATTGAAATATCACTGTGTCGATGAAACTTATGACACTTATTATGGATCGTAATAATGTCCACACAGTGTACCGAGAGGTCGAAACGAAAGGTTAAAGTTCGTGACCAAGGCGCCATGGCTTAGTTGATTAAAGCGCCTGTCTATTTCGAATCTCAGTGGTGAATTTTTTATTTAGGTGCTTCACCGAACAATTCCTTGTTTGATAATTACATTATTGACACTCATGATTGGTAGTCGTCCAGTGTTGGGAAATTCTCCTTAGGCTGGTGGATGATATGCAAGTAAATCGGAACATGCTATCATTATAAAAATAAAAATTACCTGGAAATTGGAATATCACTGTGTCGATGAAACGTATGACACTTAATATGGATCGTAATAATGTCCATACAGTGTACCGAGAGGTCGAAACGAAAGGTCAAAGGAAATGACCAGGGCGCCATGGCTTAGTTGGTTAAAGCGCCTGTCTAGTAAACAGGAGATCCTGGGTTCGAATCTCAGTGGTGCCTTTTTTATTTAGGTGCTTCACCGAACAATTCCTTGTTTGATAATTACATTATTGACACTCATGATTGGTACTCGTCCAGGGTTGGGAAATTCTCTTTAGGCTGGTGGATGATATGCAAATAAATCGGAACCTGCTATCATTTTAGAAATAAAAATAACCTGGCAATTGAAATATCACTGTGTCGATGAAACGTATGACACTTAATATGGATCGTAATAATGTCCACACAGTGTACCGAGAGGTAGAAACGAAAGGTCAAAATTCGTGACCAGGGTGCCATGGCTTAGTTGGTTAAAGCGCCTGTCTAGTAAACAGGAGATCCAGAGTTCGAATCTCAGTGGTGCCTTTTTTATTTAGGTGCTTCACCGAACAATTACTTGTTTGATAATTACATTATTTGTACTCGTCCAGGGTTGGGAAATTCTCTTCAGGATGGTGGATGATATGCAAGTAAATCGGAACATGCTATCATTATAAAAATAAAAATTACCTGGAAATTGGAATATCACTGTGTCGATGAAACGTATGACACTTAATATGGATCGTAATAATATCCACACAGTGTACCGAGAGGTAGAAACGAAAGGTCAAAATTCGTGACCAGGGCGCCATGGCTTAGTTGTTTGATAATTACATTATTGACACTCATGATTGGTACTCGTCCAGGGTTGGGAAATTCTCTTTAGGCTGGTGGATGATATGCAAATAAATCGGAACATGCTATCATTTTAAAAATAAAAATAACCTGGCAATTGAAATATCACTGTGTCGATGAAACGTATGACACTTAATATGGATCGTAATAATGTCCACACAGTGTACCGAGAGGTAGAAAAGAAAGGTCAAAATTTGTGACCAGGGCGCCATGGCTTAGTTGGTTAAAGCGCCTGTCTAGTAAACAGGAGATCCTGAGTTCGAATCTCAGTGGTGCCTTTTTTATTTAGGTGCTTCACCGAACAATTCCTTGTTTGATAATTACATTATTTGTACTCGTCCAGGGTTGGGAAATTCTCTTTAGGCTGGTGGATGATATGCAAGTAAATCGGAACATGATATCATTTTAAAAATAAAAATAACCTGGCAATTGAAATGTCACTGTGTCGATGAAACTTATGACACTAATTATGGATCGTAATCATGTCCATACAGTGCACCGAGAGGTCGAAACGAAAGGTCAAATTTCGTGACCAGGGCGCCATGGGTTAGTTGGTTAAAGCGCCTGTCTAGTAAACAGGAGATCCTGAGTTCGAATTTCAGTGTTGCCTTTTTTATTTAGGTGCTTCACCGAACAATTCCTTGTTTGATAATTACATTATTTGTACTCGTCCAGGGTTGGGAAATTCTCTTTAGGCTGGTGGATGATATGCAAGTAAATCGGAACATGCTATCATTTTAAAAATAAAAATAACCTGGAAATTGAAATATCACTGTGTCGATGAAACTTATGACACTTATTATGGATCGTAATAATGTCCATACAGTGTACCGAGATTTCGAAACGAAAGGTCAAAGTTCGTGACCAGGGCGCCATGGCTTAGTTGGTAAAAGCGCCAGTCTAGTAAACAGGAGATCCTGAGTTTGAATCTCAGTGGTGCCTTTTTTATTTAGGTGCTTCACCGAACAATTCCTTGTTTGATAATTACATTATTGACACTCATGATTGGTACTCGTCCAGGGTTGGGAAATTTACTTTAGGCAGGTGGATGATATGCAAGTAAATCGGAACATGCTATCATTTTAAAAATAAAAATAACCTGGCAATTGAAATGTCACTGTGTCGATGAAACTTATGACACTTATTATGGATCGTAATCATGTCCATACAGTGCACCGAGAGGTCGAAACGAAAGGTCAAATTTCGTGACCAGGGCGCCATGGCTTAGTTGGTTAAAGCGCCTGTCTAGTAAACAGGAGATCCTGATTTCGACTCTCAGTGGTGCCTTTTTTATTTAGGTACTTCACCGAACAAATCCTTGTTTGATAATTACATTATTGACACTCATGATTGGTACTCGTCCAGGGTTGGGAAATTCTCTTTAGGCTGGGGGATGATATGCAAGTAAATCGGAACATGCTATCATTTTAAAAATAAAAATAACCTGGCAATTGAAATATCACTGTGTCGATGAAACTTATGACACTTATTATGGATCGTAATCATGTCCATAAAGTGCACCGAGAGGTCGAAACGAAAGGTCAAAGTTCGTGACCAGGGCGCCATGGCTTTGTTTGTTAAAGCGCCTGTCTAGTAAACAGGAGATCCTGAGTTCGACTCTCAGTGGTGCCTTTTATATTTAGGTGCTTCACCGAACAATTCCTTGTTTGATAATTACATTATTGACACTCATGATTGGTACTCGTTCAGTGTTAGGAAATTCTCATCAGGCTGGTGGATGACATGCAAGTAAATCGGAACATGCTATCATTATAAAAATAAAAATTACCTGGAAATTTGAGTATCACTGTGTCGTCGAAACTTATGACACTTAATATTGATCGTAATAATGTCCACACAGTGTACCGAGTGGTCGAAACGATAGGTCAAAGTTCGTGACCAGGGCGCCATGGCTTAGTTGGTTAAAGCGCCTGTCTAGTAAACAGGAGATCCTGAGTTCGACTCTCAGTGGTGCCTTTTATATTTAGGTGCTTCACCGAACAATTCCTTGTTTGATAATTACATTATTTGTACTCGTCCAGGGTTGGGAAATTCTCTTCAGACTGGTGGATGATATGCAAGTAAATCGGAACATGCTATCATTTTAAAAATGAAAATTACCTGGAAATTGGAATATCACTGTGTCGATGAAATTAACGACACTCAATATGGATCGTAATAATGTCCATACAGTGTACCGAGTGGTCGAAACGATAGGTCAAAGTTCGTGACCAGGGCGCCATGGCTGAGTTGATTAAAGCGCCTGTCTATTTCGAATCTCAGTGGTGCCTTTTTATTTAGGTGATTCACTGAACAATTCCTTGTTTGATAATTACATTATTGACACTCATGATTGGTACTCGTCCAGGGTTGGGAAATTCTCTTTAGGCTGGTGGATGATATGCAAGTTAATCGGAACATGCTATCATTATAAAAATAAAAATTACCTGGAAATTGAAATATCACTGTGTCGATGAAACTTATGACACTTATTATGGATCGTAATAATGTCCATACAGTACACCGAGAAGTCGGAACGAAAAGTCAAAGTTTGTGACCAGGGAGCCATGACTTAGTTGGTTAAAGCGCCTGTCTAGTAAACAGGAGATCCTGAGTTTGAATCTCAGTGGTGCCTTTTTTATTTAGGTGCTTCACCGAACAATTCCTTGTTTGATAATTACATTATTTGTACTCGTCCAGGGTTGGGAAATTCTCTTCAGGCTGGTGGATGATATGCAAGTAAATCGGAACATGCTACCATTATAAAAACAAAAATTACCTGGAAATTTGAATATCACTGTGTCGATGAAACGTATGACACTTAATATGGATCGTAATAATGTCCACACAGTGTACCGAGAGGTAGAAACGAAAGGTCAAAATTAGTGACCAGGGCGCCATGGCTTAGATGGTTAAAGCGCCTGTCTAGTAAACAGGAGATCCTGAGTTCGAATCTCATTGGTGCCTTTTTTATTTAGGTGCTTCACCGAACAATTCCTTGTTTGATAATTACATTATTGACACTCATGATTGGTACTCGTTCAGTGTTAGGAAATTCTCCTCAGGCTGGTGGATGATATGCAAGTAAATCCGTACATGCTATCATTTTAAAAATAAAAATAACCTGGCAATTGAAATATCACTGTGTCGATGAAACTTATGACACTTATTATGGATCGTAATAATATCCATACAGTGTACCGAGAGGTCGAAACGAAAGGTAAAAGCTCGCGACCAGGACGCCATGGCTTAGTTGGTAAAAGCGCCTGTCTAGTAAACAGGAGATCCTGAGTTCGAATCTCAGTGGTGCCTTTTTTATTTAGGTGCTTCGCTGAACAAATCCTTGTTTGATAATTACATTATTGACACTCATGATTGGTATTCGTCCAGGGTTGGGAAATTCTCTTGATGCTGGTGGATGATATGCAAGTAAATCGGAACATGCTATCATTTTAAAAATAAAAATTACCTGGAAATTGAAATATCACTGTGTCGATGAAACTTATGACACTTATTATGGATCGTAATAATGTCCATACAGTGTACCGAGAGGTCGAAACGAAAGGTCAAAGTTCGTGACCAGGGCGCCATGGCTTAGTTGGTAAAAGCGCCTGTCTAGTAAACAGGAGATCCTGAGTTTGAATCTCAGTGGTGCCTTTTTTATTTAGATGCTTCACCGAACAATTCCTTGTTTGATAATTACATTATTGACACTCATGATTGGTACTCGTTCAGGGTTGATAAATTTACTTTAGACTGGTGGATGATATGCAAGTAAATCGGAACATGCTATCATTTTAAAAATAAAAATAACCTGGCAATTGAAATGTCACTGTGTCGATGAAACTTATGACACTTATTATGGATCGTAATCATGTCCATACAGTGCACCGAGAGGTCGAAACGAAAGGTCAAAGTTCGTGACCAGGGCGCCATGGCTTAGTTGGTTAAAGCGCCTGTCTAGTAAACAGGAGATCCTGAGTTCGACTCTCAGTGGTGCCTTTTTTATTTAGGTGCTTCACCGAACAATTCCTTGTTTGATAATTACATTATTTGTACTCGTCCAGGGTTGGGAAAGTCTCTTTTGCCTGGAGGATGATATGCAAGTAAACCGGAACATGTTATCATTTTAAAAATAAAAATAACCTGGAAATTGAAACATCACTGTGTCGATGAAACTCATGACACTTAATATGGATCGTAATAATGTCCATACAGTGTACCGAGAGGTCGAAACGAAAGGGCAAAGTTCGCGACGTGGGCGCCATGGCTTAGTTGGTTAAAGCGCCTGTCTAGTAAACAGGATATTCTGAGTTCGAATCTCAGTGGTGCCTTTTTTATTTAGGTGCTTCAATGAACAATTCGTTGTTTGATAATCACATTATTGACACTCTTAATCGGTACTCGTCCTGAGCTGGGAAAGTCTCTTTAGGCTGGAGAAAGATATGCAAGTAAATCGGAACAATCTATCATTTTAAAAATAAAAATAACTTGGAAATTGAAATATCGCTGTGTCGATGAAACATATGACACTCAATATGGATCGTAATAATGTCCATACAGTGTACCGAGAGGTCGAAACGAAAGGTCAAAATTCGTGACCAGGGCGCCATGGTTTAGTTAGTTAAAGCGCCTGTCTAGTAAACAATTCCTTGTTTGATAATTACATTATTGGTACTCGTCCAGTGTTGGGAAATTCTCTTCAGGCTGGTGGATGATATGCAAGCAAATCGGAACAATCTATCATTTTAAAAATAAAAATAACCTGGTAATTGAAATATCACTGTGTCGATGAAACTTATGACACTTAATATGGATCGTAATAATGTCCATACAGTGTACCGAGAGGTCGAAACGAAAGGTCAAAGTTCGTGACCAGGGCGCCATGGCTTAGTTGGTAAAAGCGCCCGTCTAGTAAACAGGAGATCCTGAGTTTGAATCTCAGTGGTGCCTTTTTTATTTAGATGCTTCACCGAACAAATCCTTGTTTGATAATTACATTATTGACACTCATAATTGGTACTCGTCCAGGGTTGGGAAATTTACTTTAGGCTGGTGGATGATATGCAAGTAAATCGGAACATGCTATCATTTTAAAAATGAAAATTACCTGGAAATTGGAATATCACTGTGTCGATGAAACGTATGACACTTAATATGGATCATAATAATGTCCACACAGTGTACCGAGAGGTAGAAACGAAAGGTCAAAATTCGTGACCATGCCTTAGTTCGTTAAAGCGCCTGTCTAGTAAATAGGAGATCCTGAGTTCGAATCTCAGTGGTGCCTTTTTTATTTAGGTGCTTCACCGAACAATTCCTTGTCAGATAATTACATTATTTGTACTCGTCCAGGGTAGGGAAATTCTCTTCAGGCTGGTGGATGATATACAAGTAAATCGGAACATGCTATCATTATAAAAATAAAAATTACCTGGAAATTTGAATATCACTGTGTCGATGAAACGTATGACACTTAATATGGATCGTAATAATGTCCACACGTTGTACCGAGAGGTAGAAACGAAAGGTCGAAATTCGTGACCAGGGCGCCATGGCTTAGTTGGTTAAAGCGCCTGTCTAGTAAACAGGAGATCCTGAGTTTGAATTTCAGTGGTGCCTTTTTTATTTAGATGCTTCACCGAACAATTCCTTGTTTGATAATTACATTATTTGTACTCGTCCAGGGTTGGGAAATTCTCTTTAGGCTGGTGGATGATATGCAAGTAAATCGGAACATGCTATCATTTTAAAAATAAAAATAACCTGGCAATTGAAATGTCACTGTGTCGATGAAACTTATGACACTTATTATGGATCGTAATCATGTCCATACAGTGCACCGAGAGGTCGAAACGAAAGGTCAAAGTTCGTGACCAGGGCGCCATGGCTTTGTTGGTTAAAGCGCCTGTCTAGTAAACAGGAGATCCTGAGTTCGACTCTCAGTGGTGCCTTTTTTATTTAGGTGCTTCACCGAACAATTCCTTGTTTGATAATTACATTATTTGTACTCGTCCAGGGTTGGGAAATTCTCTTCAGGCTGGTGGATGATATGCAAGTAAATCGGAACATGCTACCATTATAAAAACAAAAATTACCTGGAAATTTGAATATCACTGTGTCGATGAAACGTATGACACTTAATATGGATCGTAATAATGTCCACACAGTGTACCGAGAGGTAGAAACGAAAGGTCAATATTAGTGACCAGGGCGCCATGGCTTAGATGGTTAAAGCGCCTGTCTAGTGAACAGGAGATCCTGAGTTCGAATCTCAGTGGTGCCTTTTTTATTTAGGTGCTTCACCGAACAATTCCTTGTTTGATAATTACATTATTGACACTCATGATTGGTACTCGTTCAGTGTTAGGAAATTCTCCTCAGGCTGGTGGATGATATGCAAGTAAATCCGTACATGCTATCATTTTAAAAATAAAAATAACCTGGAAATTGAAATATCACTGTGTCGATGAAACTTATGACACTTATTATGGATCGTAATAATGTCCATACAGTGTACCGAGATTTCGAAACGAAAGGTCAAAGTTCATGACCAGGGCGCCATGGCTTAGTTGGTAAAAGCACCTGTCTAGTAAACAGGAGATCCTGAGTTTGAATCTCAGTGGTGCCTT